AAATCTAATCATGAAATTAAAAAGTTCCAAACTTGACTAACAGTAGTTCTAACATGTAGCTTATGACATTACGAAGCTAACGCGATTTGAATGGATCAATTCGGAGCTAAAACGACAATTTTATAAGCGAAACAGTTCAAATGACATTTCTGTAAATACTGAAAGCGTACTTTTTGACTTAAGCCGATGAACTTTACGCTTTCAAAACAAGAATGCGTAATAGGGGGAATGCGCTTTGGACTGCGGGTTCTATTACGCGAAAACAGGAGGGCTCTTTAGCAAAACCACCCGCGAAGGGGTATCGGTCTACGTGGGCCGTCGGATTTGAAATGAACGGCCAGAAATAGATCCGGGGGAGAGAGAACAAGGGGTGGCCAGCCGGAACAGTAACACTAGCGGCCAGGCGCCATGGCCGGCGGCGGTGGACTCGCCGGAGCGCGCGGTTAGGGGTCTACGGCTCACCAAATGGTCAACCGAGGGCACCGATGAGCGCGGGGGAAGAAGGGGGTCTCGGCCATGCCGATACGGCGGTCGGAAACAGCGGGTAGCGCGGTGGCCGCCATGGCCGGTGGCCAAGGCTTGCGGAGCTCGTGGCCAGGGCATCTAGAAGCCAAGAAAAATGAAATAAACCGCATGGGAAGAGATAGGGGAGCTTGGGGAGGCTCACAGCGGGTAACTCGGGGTCGGAGATGGCTCGGGGAAGGCGGGTCACGGCGGACGGCGGACGGCGGACGGCGGTCTTGATGCTTCGCCGCGTGCGTGCGCAGTGCCTCCCGAGGCGTGAGCGAGGGCGCGAAAACGGAGCGGGAGAGCAGCAGGGGGGGCTCTCCTATTTATCAAGGCCGAGGAGCGGGAGGGGGACTCTCCCACGACGCGTGGAAGCAGCAGCCAATTCTTGGCTTGACCGCCAGCTGCGATTCTGGGAGGAAGGTGGGGAGCCGACAGTGGGGCCAGTGTCGTGGGGTATGACGACGTTCTTGAAATGACGCAGCGCAGCTGCTGGTTAAATTGGCCAAGGCTGGCTGGCTGTGGCGGGCGCCAGGGGGAGGCTGAGCCGGGCTGGCGTGACTGCTCGGGCTAGGCCTCGACCAGAAATGAGGAGAAGGGGGAGGGGAGAGGGAGCTGGGCTAGCGGGAAAGAAAGGGCCATAAGGGCCGAAAGTGAGGAAGAGGAGGGAAAAGAAGGAAATTTCCTTTTATTTTTATAAATAAAATTTTCCAATCTCATTTTCAAGGTAAATTTGAATTCAATTCAAATTTTAGTCAAAGCTAATCATTACAAAAGCAAATGCACAGCAGCATGAATGCATCAACATGTTTCTATTCCTTATATTTGATTTTAATTTCCCAAAAATTATTAATTTCCTATATTTGAATGCACACAATATAACATAAATAAATCAAATTTACTATTTTAAAAGATTGCAAATTTTTGGGTGTTACAGCTGCCCGTGCTATGAAGTTCACTAGCTATTTCAAGAGAGGATGTCAATTTGTGGCCGCCTCTCTAAATAAAAAAGCATGTCTCCTACATATAAACTTATTCTTTAAAATTGTCTTGTGACAAGCCCTATTTTGTCATCTAGCAAAACTGTTAGCTTGATCAATCTTTAATTGACTACTCCCTCTGTCCAGAAAAAAACGCAATTCTAGTTTTGAACCTGAACACGACACGTGTCTAGGTTAAAAGCTAGAATTGTGTTTTTCTGAACGGAGGGAGTATTCATGAAGTATTTTTCACCATTCATGGGCCAATCTAGCTCAATCGTAGCATATATGCTAGATTGCAGAAATGTCATATCCTATATAATGCTAGCAACCTATCCATTAATCATTGGCAATAAATTAAGTTTTTGTTTCTTGAGACATTTATACATGGCTACAAATATGATGGCACCAATTATCAGTTAGTTTAGCTTTCTCAGCGTCAGCCTACTAGTAGTAGGATAACAAATGATCTTTCTCTTTCCATGTAGGGGGCAAGAAAAACCGCTGGCATATTGCATGGTCCAATAGTGTATTCCAGGAACCTAGAGTAATCTAGTATAGCTATGGTAAAGCATAATCTTGGATATTTCGACATTTAACCAAACAGGACGATGAGCATAAATTAAGATGTGACTAGTTGTGAAGCATTTCAATAAACAGTGTAGCACATATAATGCTAGCTTAATTTTAGCCATGAATGTCATCACACATCAAATCGATTTAGCTAGTTAGGTACACTCTGTCCCAAGAAAGCTTTGCATTTTAGTTTTTTTTTCCTAAGCCAAACTTTGAAAAGTTTGGGCAAATTTATAGAGAAAATTGTTAACATTCATGACACCAAATAGGTCTATTATGAAAAAATGTTCCATGACTAATAATCTAATAATAATAATTTGGTAACATAAATATTAGTAACTTAGTCAAACTTTAGATGGTTTGACTTAGACCAAAACTAAAAACATTAAGTTTTTTTTTGGCACAGAGGTATTACCCATATTGATACTAGCTAAGTAAATATATAGCTATTTGCGGAAAGAAAATCAACTAAATTCTGTCACAAGATGAAAATAATTAAATTGTGTGGAAGATCTTTTTTTTCTAAAAGATTTGCGCATCTTTATATTAATAAGAGTTTAACCAAACAACACGCCTCTAACGAGCGCCCTAGGAGTCCAACAAAGACAGCCTGAGGCTGGACCGTCCTAGTACATGAACTTAAGTCCTGATATTACACACAAGACGTGCAACCCATAAAAACGCAGCAGCGCGACCTAAGAGGTGCCTTTGCGTCTCCGCTGTCGCCGCCTGGACGACCCTTTTCCGGCGTCCATGAAGAGCACGTCCAATGCTTCTACGTTGGACGCATTGAGGTTCCCCTCGAAGATCTCCTCGTAGGCCTTTTGTCCTGACACGCTTGGCATTGATATATAGACCCATGATGTAGCCCAAACGCTGCATGACAAGAACCTCACCTCGCTTGGAAGCCGGAACTCGAGAGAGGCTCTGGGCCGCCATCCGCTTGCTTCGCTTCGGGAGCCTCGGCTTAGCAGGTGTCGGCTGCTCGGGAGGCTGGTGGATTAGCGGGGAGTCGACCTTCTTCAACACTCACTTTATGAAGCTCTTCAGGCGGCGCGCTGCAGAGTTGTCGCTGTCGTCAACCGGATGGCCGTTCCGAGGCGGTGTACCGAGCATGTCTGCATCCGCGACGGACAGCCCACCTCGTCTTCCGTGGGCGCGAATGTGTGGAAGATCTGAAAATGCTGAAAATGTGCCTTGATAAATGTCTCTCCGCAAAAAAAAGTAACTCAAATTTATTTAATGGTTATCTAAAAATGAAGAAGTGTGGACCCAGTACTAGCAGACCCGGCACGTACGCTTGACTCTTTCAAATCAAAATACTAATTCATTTTCAATGTGGAACTCAATCAACAATTTTTTGTCATTCCAGAATAGACGACAAAGCTGGCGAAAATTTTCAACATGAATGTCGAGGTATTCTATATATATATGGTCAAATTCAAAATCTGGATATAAACAATACATAACCATGTGAAATATAATAGGATGCATGATGGGGAACAAGTGCTGAGGTGCACACTGCTCCCAAAAACAATTTAACCGGCCTACTGCACGTTCCTTAATTTTATTTTTCTCCATCAGTGTAATTAGCTAGCAATTAACATATCGAAATCGAGACAGGTCGTACCTGTATAAATGTCTTGACATGTGATGGAAATTAAAGATACCTAGGCAGATAGGCAGAAGTGCACGTATGCAGCTTTATAACAATTAGGGGACCCTGCATGTGATGCCGATCATTGATCAAACTCATCTATCCATCCATGGACCTACTAGCTTGTGACGAAAGCTCCCATTAAATCATTTAATGAGATCGATGAACGTGTGTTAGCTGTCGATCTAACTATATGTCGCCGATGGCACCAAACATTTTGGGCACATCCATCATGTATACCCTACCATGGCCATATATATATACATCTAACTTGAGACCCGTGGATCACAAGCTACGATTAGTTCACCACAAGAAAACAAGATCAGAATGTAGACAAGCATGTACTACCATAGTTTGTCATGCATGCCAGCTGCATAGTTTTTGGTCAGAGAAGATATAATACATGCAGGTGAAATGTGTGTGATGGATAATTTGCAAGATCTTTCTTTTCAGAAACAATTTTTTGACAGATCCTGATCGATCTTCTTGCTGTAGTTAGATAGTAACTTATATGTGCATGCGTCTTAACCTACTACCACTACCGGATTCAGCTTCTTTGCCGAGTGCCTCAGGCCGATATACACTCGGCAAAACCTTTGCCGAGTGTTACACTCGGCAAAGGGCGCTCAGTAAACAGTTTATCGGTAAAGACCTCTTTGCCGAGTGCACTTTATCGGGTACTCGGCAAAGCCTTTGCCGAGTGCTAATCTGACACTCGGCAAAGAAAAGTCGCCGTGACGGCGGCTTCGCCGAGTGTCAAGGTCAAGCACTCGGCAAAGGTCGCCGCTTTGCCGAGCGCCGTTGGCTCAGACACTCGGCAAAGGTGGGCACTGTGCCGAGTGCCACCGGCAAGACACTCAACAAAGTTATTTTTCAGCTTAAAAAAAACTTGCAGATTCAAGTGAAGTTATATAAATAGGAGCTAAGATGCATCTAAAAAATCGGGTAAGAAAGAAAGGAGGCACGAATACACTGGTAATATGGAGTTAAATGACCAGCAACCTTTAATACAGCAAATAAAACTAGACAAGTTCATAGTTAAATAGAACCAGTGGCATGCAGTGCAGTTGATATTAAAACATAGCCGAAATTCATAGAACATTGAGAAAATAGATAATCAATGATCAATAAATTGTTCTACAAATTTGGATCTTGGGGCATTTGTTTCACATATGGCACATGGTTTGCTATTGAGGGTCTATCAGCTGTTGGACAGAGTTATGGTAACAGCACTTGTATCCGGAAGGCCTGTAAGTTTCTCTTAACAAAACAGCTAAAGAATGGTGGATGGGGTGAGAGTCATCTTTCATCAAGAACCAAGGTAACCATTTCTGTTATGCTTTTGCAATGTAGATGGACTGCATCTTTCATCAAGAACCAAGCTAAAGAATGTTTTAGAGTAAGCAACACATCCAGACAATGGAAACATGCTTTGATCCTGTTTCTGTTTAACTTCCAGCAAATTATAGACAAAATGTACAGCAATCTGTATGAATTCATTACCAGATAGTAATTCATTAGGAACATGAAGCATTGAGAGGAAACAAGTAACCTGGTTCAGCCTTATTTAGAGAAAATGAAACAAGAAATAAAGTAGATGGACTTTATGTTAAAAAAATGTTGCAATTGCATGGCAACAAGAGCATGAGTCGTAATATGCCATTCCAATAATTCCATATGTACCTCAATAATGGAAAATGCAAGCTGAACATTTGCTGGTTGGAAACACTATGCATCTTTTGGTTTCACAAAGTTTACAGTGCACCTGTATTTATGCTGAAGATTTTTGTCTCAGAATTTGTCTTGCCTTGCTGCATTTTCAGTCCATGAGACTGAACAGATATTCAAATTATAAACAGGCATACACAAATCTGGATAGGGAGAAATCACACATAGTGAACAGTGCATGGGCAATGTTGGCGCTCATGAAAGCTGGACAGGTGATTACTTTATTTAACACTACAAAATATTTAACAGGCAATTGGAGCAGAAGCATATTTAACATCAGAATAAATCAACCAACCTGCTTAAAGGTTTAGATCTATTTCATTTTTTGAAGTATTGGAATAATTTCAAACTTTTATTCTAAGTTCAGGTGGAAAGAGATCCCACTCCACTGCACAAAGCTGCAAGACTTATCATGAGTATGCAGCTCGGCAATGGTGACTTCCCACAGGAGGTGACTGCTAAGTGTCCTCTGTATTATACAATTCACATTTTAATCTTGACATTCCCTGTTATAATGGCGTTAAGCATAATGAAGCAATAAAAATGTTCCATTAAACAGATGTGGGTGACCTTTTGCTTGATATAATCAACGAAAGGTTTTGATCTTCAAAGTACCCTCACAGGAACGTAGATACAAGAATACCCATGGTTTTGGACTGTGGAAAACCTTAGTTATTTCCTCATAATTATTGGAAAGTATTCACAGGATAACTTCAAACTGTTCTCCTTATTAATATCCGGTTTGAAACAAGATGACTTGAAACTGTCACATTATTTTCCCTTTTTACCATTCCTAGGAATTTCCCAATTTCTAGTAAGTAGCAAGCATGTAAATCACCTTCATCCAAAGATCTATTGTTGCTACCACTACTACGACTACCACCACTGCTACTCTACCACTACTACTACCGCAACTACTAGTAATACTACGACGACGACGACGGTAGAGCATACCTAGTGGGAGTCGTAGGGCGGCGGTGGTGAAGGAGCCAGGGCGCCGGTGGACAAGGCGACGGCCGGGGAAGCGCCGGGGACGTGGCAACGGTGGCCGGGGCGCCTCCTCCTCCTCCTCCTCCTTCTTCCTCCTCCTTCTCTTCCTCCTTCCTCCTTCTTCCTCCTCTCCTCCTCCTCTCTTTCTCCTCCTCCTCCGGCGGCGCGGGCGTGGGCGGGAGCGGCGGTGGCGCTGGCGCGGGCGGCGCAGGAGCGGGCGCCGGCGGGGGTGGCGCTGGCGCGGTCCGCTGCCTGCGTGCGTGTGTGTGCGTGTGTGCGGTGTGTGTGGGCCGGCTGGGCCGGCGGAGTTAAATCCCCCCTTTGCCGAGTGCCCCCGATCTGGCACTCGGCAAAGTATTTTTTAATTTTTATTAATTCTCTACCGAGTGCCACCTGATCTGGCACTCGGCAAAGAGGGTTTTTTTTAAAAAAAATTCTTTGTCGAGTGCCCCCGATCTGGCACTCGGCAAAGTATTTTTTAATTTTTTTAAATTCTTTGCCGAGTGCCACCCGACCTGGCAATTGGCAAAGAGGGGTTTTTTAATTTTTTTTAAAATTCTTTGTCGAGTGCCAGCCGTCCTGGCACTCGGCAAAGAGGCTCTTTGCCGAGTGTCAAACGTAGAGACTCGGCAAACTGTTTTTATTTATTTTTCTTCGTGCCCCCAAACTTTTTCTGTAGTCGTCGTACAATACCTGGTACTCCATGTTCCAATGTGGCATATTTCTCGGACTTTTTCTATGTTTCTTTAATTTATTTCATTTAATTGAATTTTCTTGATAATTCAAATTATAATTGCTAGTCATTCGAATAACGAAAAAAATGAATGGGAAAATGATATTCATGTTATTTAGTATAATGTGAGGCTGTATCCAGGAACAGACCACCAATTTCGAACATCTTGTTCACGAAACATGACCACGAACTTGCGATCGAGTTAGTTTTAAATTCTATAAAAAGCAAAGGAATCGAAAATCTTGAAACTTGTCGAGATGTCATGATATCATATGTGGAGGCTGTGATAAAAAATTGAGGAGGTTTCGCGCAAGTTTGTCACGTACGATGCTTACCACCTCGTCGGCCTCTTCACGAAATCATGAAACTTCTTTGGAGATTCTTCGGTTTGCAAGCATCGTACGTGACAACTTGCGCAAAACCTTCTCAAATTTTTATCACAGCCTCCACATATGATATCATGACATCTTGACAAGTTTTATGATATTCGTACTTCGTTTGCTTTTTATAGAATTTAAAAACAACTCGACCGAAAGTTCGTGGTCATGTTTGGTGAACAAGATGTTCGAAATTGGTGGTCTGTTCCTGGATACAACCTCACATTATACTAAATAACATGAATATCATTTTTTCATTCATTTTTTCATTATTCAAATGACTAGCAGTTATAATTTGAATTATCCAAGAAAATTTAATTAAATGAAATAAATTAAAGAAATATAGAAAAAGTCCAAGAAATGTGCCACATTGGAACATAGAGTATCAGGTATTGTAAGAGGACTGCAGAAAAAGTTTGGAGGTCAAAAGTGAAAAAAATATGGTTTGCCAAGTGTCAAAAAATGACACTCGGCAAATCACCGCTTTGCCGAGTGTCAGGAGAAGACACTCGGCAAAGGGTTAACGACGGCTGCTGGCCGTTAACGGTGGCGGCCCTTTGCCGAGTGTTCTGATTTGCCGAGTGCCCGACACTCGGCAAACCTGGTCTTTGCCCAGTATTATTGTTTGCCGAGTGCTCGGCACTCGGCAAACCACCTCTTTGCCGAGTGCTTTCTCTCTGGCACTCGGCAAATAGCCTCTTTGCCGAGCGCCCGATAAAAAACACTCGGCAAAGTCTAGGACACTCGGTAAAGAAGCCGTCTCCGGTAGCGTACCAATCTATTGTTATATATATACACCAACAGAAACTCCAAGGAGATAGGAGCAATACGAGTCTGACTCGCTGAGCATGAGGTGGCACAGAAAAGTTACAAGCCTTCACTAGAATAAAAGGTTGTGTGCTGCATGAGGTGAATATGGTGAGTACATAATGGTACATGTGCATATGCATGCAGGTGAAATGGGATGAATAATTTGCAAGATCTTTCTTTCCAGAATTTTTTTTATAGATCCTGATGATCGATCTTGCTGTGGTAATAAGTTAGTTACTTAATTATATATGTTTGCATCTTAACCTACCAATCTATTGACATATATATATAGAGTTTGTCTACACAGTAATCGAGTGTTCTAAAGCGGCTGGACACTCGATTCATTCTGACCGTTGGATCAAGATCGAACGCTCATCCTCTTTTCTTCTACCTCCAGTCCATGGCCGTTCACTGCGGCTCCGCGAAACACCTCCGCCGACCACCGCCTCGCCGTGGAGCTCCGGTGAGACCCTACCACATCCGCGGCGACCTCCTTCTTCCCCTCCCCACCGCCATCATGCACTACTACACTCGCACCTTTCACAGCCACGTCGTAACCTCCATCGTAGTCCAATTTCGGCCTCGGCAGTAAGCTCTCGGCTGTGATAGTCGTAGTCATCACCGTCGCTATCTGAGACCGTCTATGGTGTACACTCATACCGCCGTATTGGCTTATGATCCGTCCGTGATAAGGTCCTTACTTCTATCGCATTGGAGCACGACCCGGCCGTGTTCGTATACACTAACACCGCCGTGTTGGCTTATAATCCGTCCGTGATCAGGCCATTGTTTCCGTCGCATTGGAGCACGACCCGCCTGTGTTTGTGTACACTAACACGGCCGTGTTGGCTTATGATTCGTCCGTAATCAGGTCATTGTTTCTGTCGCGTTGTACCACGACCCGCCTGTGTGGGTGTACACTAACACCACCGTTTTGACCACTGATCAGGATCACAGTCGCCTTGCACAATGACCCGATTGTGTGCAATGCGTGTTCACCGTCGCTTTGGCACCCGACGTGTCTGTGTCAAGGTGGACATCACCGTCACTTCAGCATATGAACCGTCTGGTCATTGGTAATGGTCACCGGCAGTGATACACTATTGACCCCTGCCGCATGAGATGAATAGCGGCGATGTTGTCTGTTTGCTTCACCAACGGCGAGGGTTACGGCGGTGATGACAAAACAAACAACGACCCTTACATCCGTCGGTGATAGAATTGCATCAGGTTTTTACAATTTATTTACTAATTCAGATGGGCCTTAATAAATTACTGAACACACACCATACACATATAATCATTACGCACCATTCATCATGTCCACAACGAAGAGTGCTTTTTATAATAAGAAGCGACACTAACATAACAACTGTATAAACTCAAGAATTAACACAAGCGGTACATAGATAGGAGAATAAAGGTTTTGCTCCCTACATACTTACATAACAAAAACGAGGTAGATGTGCTCCGCTCCTTCAAATTAGCACTCTTGCTTGCAAGGCAGAGCTTCCTTTAGCTTGGTAGCTAGTGCACCATGGAACCCCTCTTCTTTCTCCCTTAGCCATTGCAGGAAAATCGTTCAAAAGCACTCAGACTCCACAACCTGCACAAAGCAGCAGCATTAATAATATTCAACATACAATTACTTTAGTTACCAAGGCAAAATTGGGTTGTATACAAAATCAAAACAACTCCCTACCTGAAGAAAGAATAGCATATGCAACTTTACTGCTCTCCTACTGACTCCATGAACAACGGAACATAAGGAAGATAGTGAGGTCCCTCCGGACGTAGCCTCCAGGTAGGTCTATGATACCGCACGAACTGGGCAGGGAGGACAAGAACTTTTCTGAGGTTCATGTCATATGCGATCAGTTTTTTGTCCTCGCCAACAAGGAAAATTAAATTCCATTCCAGGTGAACTGCAATCACTCTGTAGTCCGCATCGCAAACATCATAACCAAATTGAATATTGTCTCGTCCAAATATCTCCAGTGTGGTCACCGTATGCTTTAGTGTCTCGTTATCAGTATCATAGTCTTCTAGGATCCGGAATGAAAGCTGATACTTCCTGAACATACTAGCAGTACATAAACACAACTGACCCTGAGTTTCATGGATGGAGATTGCTTCACCACGTGGCCTACGAATTTTCCTCCATGTCTTTCCCTGCATATCAACAGCAACTATCTAGGACAACTCCAGTCAGTGCATAGAACCATTAAGGAATACACATGTCGAATATGTGCATACAACACCCTCGCCCCATTCAGATTCCTTAAACATCCATGCTACACTCTTAGATGTGTAGATGCTCACATGTACGGATTGACCCACCCTCTTCTTCCCATATTCAATCACATGGAAGTGCGAGGAGACTGTCGGATCGAACCCCAAGCGAGTTGAACCAAAAGAACGGTTGTTATCCGGCAGTAACCACCATTTGTTAGTCATCGGATTGCAGACAACATAGCGAAACCCAACGCACCAGCATAGGATGAGCCTATGGCAGCAATCTGAGATCACAACATCCTCAATGGGGAAGGGCAAGAAGGTCAATGAGAGTTATTCACCGTTGATGCTGGTGAACTTGTGTTTGCCTTTCTAGCTGCAATAGAAGAATCTGGC